GGGGGGGGGGGTGGTTTACTCTGATTGTAATATTGTATGTGACAGGTTTTAGCTTTAGCCAGCTGATGGATTGGGATAATTTATCGGTACGGTACTACCATCAATGTGTGGATGTGGTACATCATATAGTACCTTCAATGGTACATCAGTAGCAACACATGCACACGAGACCACTGAAATTTCAGTTTGTTTATTTTTCATCATCAAAATAGTCCAACAAAACAACCTGTGCTGTTAAAAAAGACTAATCTTGAAGTTACAATTTTTCGAATGACAGCCTGTGCTAAGTGTTACAATAACATAATCATAATCACTGACAGTACTCCTGTTTCTGCCTGCTCCCAGTGCTCACTACCTACTGTACATAGTTCTGCCTGACACCACCGTGCAACAGCGCCACCTGGAGGAATGGAGCAGAACAACAACACAGCCGACATGGCCCAGGTGAACCGCGAGGCTCTCATAGAGGATATCAGGAACGTGAACCCGTTTCTGGACAACCTGTACCGGTCGGGGGAGCTCACGCGCGAGGAGTGTGATCTCGTGAGATCCAAGACGTCCCGAAGGATGAAGGCAAGATCCTTACTCGATATCTTAGACCGAAAAGGACCGGGCGCCTTTGGAGCCTTCTGCGCGGTTCTCAAGAGGGTTTGCCGGCCACCGCTGGTCAGACAAGATGCCTTCGACTACAGCTGAAGGGGTGTTCCCGAACCCCTACCACATCCTCTCGTTGTTGTCATGACATATCAGAACCCTGCAGGCTCAGAACTTGAAAAACAATCAGAATTTCTGGCATTTTTGTTGACTGTACGCCGGGCATTTTGGGAACCTGATAAAGAAAGTAATTAATAAATTGTAAATCAACTGTAACTGTGCATTTTGTAAAGCAATGTTTAATCTAAAAAAAAAATTAGTTAGTGCAGCGATATATGATTTTTCAACTGCATGGTCAGTTGTACATGTGCAAATTGTATTTGTCATGCACAGAAAAGTTATTTGTCATTTGGTGATTGGTTCTCTGGTGTTTGTGAAGTTATGTCTATGACTAGTATGTGTGTGTGTGTGTGTGTGTGTGTGTGTGTGTGTGTGTGTATGTTTGTAGGCTTGTGTGTGTGTGCGCGCACACGTGTGTGTGTCCATGTGTGTGTCAGTATGTATGTGTGTGTATGTTTAACAACTTTAAGTAAGGTGAGTTCAACTGAGTTGGCAATGCTGCAACAAGCTAGTGATGTGAGCTTACTAGAAGAAACATTTATGTTAAGCAATGCCAGTCAATTTAGTTTATTTACTATAGCTTTGTAATTGTATATTACAAAGTAGCTAGTATTGTAAAGAAGAATTGTACTTGTGTAAAGAAAAGATGTCTTTGTACTTATTTATTCTAGAAAATGTCTTTTGCTAAACTGATAACAGATATTAAATTAAAAAAAAAACACAGTACTGTTGCACCTTTACTAGAACTGTTGTGTTGACTTTATACTTGTGTGTACACAATAAACAGTTTTGTTTCAATTTGGTGTTATGATAAAATGTTCTATATATAGGTGATAGGATCAGCTGCACTATGGCTGTGGCCAAAACCGTTGTGACTTTTGTTCCTCTTTTGGACCCATAGAAATCTACTCCCCAAGCAGACGTTTGCGTTTTGGCTTAATTTAGGCGTGTTCTTCGATTTCGGACTATCGGGCTTTTTTTGCAGTAGAATATTATTACGTGGTAAGAAAAGATTCTAGTGCAAAAAGGAATCCCGATTTTAAAAAAAACGAAAACACGCCAAAAATAAGCCCAAACCCAAACCTCTGCTTGGAGAATACCTGAAGGAATGGGATGGGGTGTCTCCATTCAGGTTCCGCTGTTAGAAAACTATCATCTTACTGACGGTAAAATGCAGGACACGCTTTAAGTACGGTATGCACGAGTACAAAGGAAAGGGGATACGATGTATATTTTCCCAGTTCTTTTCAATAGCTGTACAAGCTTTGCCAGCAGTGTACGCCTAGTATCCTGCGCGACTGTTGAAGTTCGTAGCTCTCCGAGATCTCTATTCCAACATTTTTTTCACAAGACATGTCGACCGCACACTCGATTTTCTAAACTTATTTTTATGCCGCCACCAACACAGACAAATGCATGTTCAGACAATAAACATACTCATTTTCACCTGAGCTAAGTGAGCAAAGTCGTGTTAAGTTCCTTCCCAATGGGCACAAGATCGGTGGCATGGCCACACGACCCCACAAATTACCAAGTTCGGCCGAAGGCCGTGGGCAATTTGACGCCGAACTGCGATCCTTTTCGATACCAGTAGATTGTGAAAACAGTTAGGGTGAGGGATAATATAGCGGGATTCGAACCCATAACCACCTGGTCCAAAAGCTGGGTCGTCTGCCACGCGAGCCATCAATCAATCAATCAACAACAAGATCCCCAAATATTTCCCTGTGGACACGCATGGCAGCAGGCATTAAACACCCTCTGGTCAGGGAACTAACGTCGTCATGGAGACCTGACGCCGTATCCATGGAGACGTGACGCCACCCGCGGCTGGACCAATCGCCTGTCGCGGCGGGCATGCCACCGGGCCGGATCAAGTTTCGCGCCTTTTTTTCCGCTACAATATGTGGCGGGAAACTCACACCTCAGCGAGGGTGTGTCTTACAGTCGGCACGTTAAGCCTTTATTGTTAACTTTGAGGCGCTTTTGTTTGTATTGTAATCAGAAGAACACAACCATAGTCTGTACAGTTTGTATACATATCAACAACCTCTCAACCTCGGTCGGCCTTCCAGCAGTTGTGCTTAGCATTAAACCATGCACATTGCTACAGCAAAACTGCAGGGCAGCGCGTGCAGTGCTGATTTTATAGCGGACATAAGCGGCTAGCCTGTAGAAGTGCAGTGGTTTCTCACTTGTGCACGAGTAGCCGCCATGTAGCACAGGCGCGTTTATACACAAGCAACACACAGCTTTCGGCATTAGAGCATCCGAGCGTCGAGCGAAGGTTGTAGGAGTGTCGTGCAAAGGTTGTAGGAGTGACGAGCAAAGGGTGTAGAGCTGGACCTGCAGTTGACACCTTCAGCGGAACTCCTTTCCAACTTCATATCATCACTTATCCATCGTTTTAAAGTTATCCTACCTGGAGAAATATTTGCAGACGATCCATGAGGTATCTGGAGACTTGAGACTTTCTGGAAGAAGATTAGCGAGTCTTCCCAGGATGTATCCCAACACCAAGTTTAACCGGACTTTCCTCGGAGACTTCTTCTATGTCCCACCTAAAGACGCGAAAAGGTAAGACACTGATGCACTTTTACTTTCTAAGACGTCTTGTACTAGCTAATGTTTATGAAAATATTTTTAAGTGAAGAAGAATTTTCTTGCAATGTAATAAGTTATATTGCGTCTACTACTTAATTTTGCAAGACACGATTTGCTTAAACTAACTGTGAGTCAGGCTAGGTGTTTAGTATTTTTAAAAATCCTTCACCGACAGATTTACAATGGAAGGGTCTATACCAGGCCATTTACATGACTGGCCATTTATACATCGTATTTTTCTATTTGATCAAGTTAGTGGGTGCTGTAAAAACTAAAGTTAACGGCATACAGAGGAGCGTTTAGTTTTCAAGTTTGCCTGAACAGTTAGCCGACCACTGAGATATAGGGCTTTTCTTTTACACAACCAAACTTGTTTCTCACCTTACTAGTATGCTTACGTTTTGGTGTGTACCAGAAATCTTCCTCGTAGCTTCTGACTGGAGTTCTGCTTCTTGCCGCTATATGTTTGATGGTGTAAAAGAAAATTCCTATATATCCTATACTCTACCAACCTGATGGAACTATTTTTGGAAGGTATACTCTCCCTGTTGAACAGAATCTAACATTGCCCTAGCAAACAGGGGGGGCCCGGTAGAGACAAGGTTCTCATGTAAAGCGCGTTATGCCTAAGTCACATTTCTAAACCGGGGCCCGGCCGGGCGGTTTATATGAACGAAAAACTAACAATTCATATCAAGAATATACAGAAACAGTGCCCTTGATTATTATCGAAAACCTTTCTGTGTTTCCTTGTCTTTTATCTCGTACTTTTCGTTCCATAAGACTGCCCGACCGGGCCCCGGTTTGGGAATGTGACCTCAGCATAAAGGGTTACAATAACACGTTTTATTAGCGCGACAAAAGAGTCCAAATAAGTGAACAAAGCAGGGAACCTTAATCCGAAGTTTACCGTACAGTCGCGCTGACCGGTGTCTCGGCTTCCGGAACTACTCTCCAAGCAGAGGTTTGGGTTATTTGGGGCGTGTTTTTATATCTTTTTTATCAGGGTTTCTTTTTGCACTGGAATTTTTCTTTCACCCAACACACTCAGGCACGGTTCTGGATAGTCCATGCGCATCCAAGAACGTAGATTTGCCCCAGGCACGGTTCTGGACACGCATGGACTATCCAGAACGCGTGCCTGAGCATGGCTCTGGATACATCACCGTTTAAGATGCAACATGATGACTTTTCTGGCCACGATCCAACTCCACGGATTTCCGGTAACAGCGTCCAGACCCGCTCCGTGTTGACAAAGTCGCGCAAAACCCCGCACGTGTACAAAACATGGGCAGCCTTCTATAACAACACATAACATGGGCAGGCCTCTACAATAACACACCCGCAGTCTGGTTATAGCAACGCAGGCACAAACTCTTAAAGACGCGACGCGACACTTTAAGGAAGACATGGATCTGGAGGTGTTTCGGTGGTCGTTTCTGGAAGGGTTCTTACTGGGCGTAAAGCGGGTGGACTACGGTTTAACCAGGTGGGAGTTTAGGATGGTCTTTTCTATGCTGTCACCAAGTCCTCAGCTTTAATATAGCAGCTGTACCGAATAACGTTTGCTATACAGGCCGCTGACGAGTGGCGCTGAGGTAGGCGTTGACTTGTTCTGACAATGTCCTGTGGGAGACAGTTCCACAGCTTGACTGTAGCAGGGATGAATGATCTTCTGTGGCAAGAGGATGACGACTTGACAGGTTCAAAGGCTGCAATGTGTTGGGATGTAGACAGGCGAGTTTCTCGGCGATGTACATGTACCGTGATAGGGCTCGGGTAGTAGGTTGTTCAGCAATGAGTGAAAGGGCCCCAACGTTTCTCCGCTGCGCAGAAGTGTCTGGTAAACGGCCTTTAGGTAGTCTCCACCAGACTTTTTACAGGCTGGATAAATAGCAGAAATCGGCCTCAAAAGAATGTAGCTGGCCTGCAAACTGGACCCTCTTTGGTCGGCCAACTCCCCTGACCAGCTACATTCTTTTGAGGCCGATTTCTACTATTTATCCAGCCTGCAAAAGACTCTGGTGGAGACCAGAACGCACCAGTTTTGTACAGTAGGTACAGGCTTCGTAAGACCGGTCTGGAGGTTTGATCTTACGCTAAGATGGACCCTAACTCTTCAAGTGCAGTGTTTTTTAAACGAACTTGAGACGTGGCTCTCCTCAAACACGGGACCTCCGGCTTTACGTCCCATCCGAGAGGACTCGGTACCCATTTTCACCTGTGTGGAGTGAGGCCTTTCCTAAGGGCACAGGACCGGGGCCTGCCAGGGATTCCCAGTCAGTAAGTGTTAGAAATTTGGCAAATTGTGTTACGCCGAAGGGTGGTTATCCCGGCTATACAGATACAGAAATTAAACGACCCGTGGCCGGCCACTACCTGAAACTCGAATCACCAGTCTATGTGGAAATTCCTCTCACAACCGCCAAGACCACGACAGACCTGTAAAACAGTCTAGAGAGGTGGCATGTGCCATCATACCAGTCTGACCAATGCTTTCTACATTTGGGAAGAGGCCTGGATTTAGACTATTTTAAGGTTCTTAACTATTGCAATTGTTTTACGTCTTTCTTGGACAATATAGAATTGAACGTTGTTTTAGAGACAGAATTCAACATTTGCGAGCAAATGAAAATACAACCAGAATATCTGAGCGCAAAGATGGTGACAACCTCCGCGAGACAGACAAGTGGACAAAATACACTTGTCTCGCGGTTTTCGCTCTCTTTTTTAAGTCGTTAGACTACCTTTCATCCGGCCTATAAGCCTGACGCGATGTGGTTGCGGTACACAGAAGCGCGACTTTAACGTTGTGTGTGTGAAATAGCGACTATTGTGGGCGGAGAAACCCGAGTTGGGCTGGCGGCTGGGGTGAGCGAGCGGAAATCACCCGTGACTCTGTTGGCGCTCAGTGTTACAGTTTCTAGGCTCGGGTGGCCTAATTTTCTGATGGGCCACCTAGGCGTATAGGAGTGACTTTATGTCGTAGTTGTAATGAAACACGTTTAGTATTTTCACCATAGGGGTTCGTCTTTGGTCGCCTTTGTATGTATGTGTATGTGTGTGAGTGTGTGTGAGTGTGTGTGTGTGTGTGTGTATGTGTGGTGTGTGTGTATGTGTGTGTGCGTATATGTGAATGTGTGTGTGTGTGTGCGCGCGCGCGTGTGTGTGTGTATGTGTGTGTGTGTGCGCGCGTGTGTGTGTGAATGTCTGTTTGTCTCTGTGTGTGTGTGTGTTTTTGGCGACGCATCAGGGGTGAGCCTA